AGGAAATATGTAAAGAGTGAAAAGAAAAACTATTCTTGCAGGATTTCTTACAATTCTTTAAGCAACCCTAAACTTGAAAGAGGCTGAGCAAAATATTCTATTTTTTAATATGAATATCTAAAAGTACTTGCTTTCTTTTCTTGATCACTGGCTGAGCCAGGAAGGGAGCCATCAGCTTGATCTGGCTGTTTCTCTGCAGTCGGGGAGGCACTTTTGTTTACATCTGTATCTAGGCAACCAGAATGCTGAATCAGATCAGGAACTGTGGCAAGAGAAATTTTGCAGTGATGGAATTTTTTCTTTTCTTGAATTGAGGGTAGTTCCTGTGCATTTGGCTAAGCTTAAAGGGAGGCCTTCAGTTTGTTTTATAACTCCCCCCGTCCCTCTTCTCTACCCCAATTCTTCCTCATTCCTCAGTTACATCTATGATTGGCTAGAAGAATATATCCTCGCAGGTTCTTCCATAAAACATTTAGAAAACTTGTTGAGATCAAATAGTTCTGAAATCATAAGGAATAATTTCTGATCCTATTGTGCCCAAGCCATCTGAGTGGGCTTCTTTGGGATTTATTATTTTGTTTACATATAATAAAAAACATAAGTAAGACTGCAAAGTATAAGAAATTTAGAAATCTGAGTTGTCCCTGTGATAAATACCTGCACTCATGCTGTTCAATTTTCCAGTTATATATATGTTTTGTTGATTTGAGTTTTTGGAAAGGGAACAGATTTTTTATTCTTTCTCAGAAAGCCAGAGTACTAAGGAAACTTGATTGCATCCTAAATACAGTCTTCATGTTTCTGGGACATCTTCCCAAGGGCAGTTGGGCAGCATTGTGACTGCAAGAGGGATCTGTGATGTCAGTGGGGCTGGCCCTGACACTTTGTCATTAAATGCTCGGGATTTAGGAGACTGGAGAGTTTCCTTGTTATAAAAAACACTTGGTCCTTCACTTCTTTGTCTCATTGTACATAAGTGGCTATTATAGAACTGATATTTCACACCCTTTCCCATTTTCATCTTAGCAGTCTGATAAAATACCAGTTTCCATTCAATTAGCCAAAGAAAGAGGATGAAATACAGCCCCCTTTCAGATCTTTCTCCAACCAGTTAGCTAGTTGAGGAAGCTAACTTTTCTAGGCCACTAGAGGAATATCATAAAGACTTCAGCAATAACAACAAGGACCTGGGTCAGAGGTTTTCCAAAAATTAAAATATTGAACTTTGACATTATAGAGAAAATTTTACAAAAGGAATTAGGGCCAAAATGAGTGGATGGTGTCAGCTCTGAAATGCTTTTCTGCAAACAAAATTTGCAGATTGTATTAATCCTAATTGTCCCTTACATATAGAAATGATGCCATTGGCTAAGTTATTATCTGTATTATGGTGCTAGATTCGTCTTGCCCTAAAGACACATTGTTCAAGTTTCTGAATGACAAACTTTGTTCCTAAAAATAAAGACCACCCTGATTTTGGCTTCCATGGGAAGCTAAGTACCAAGCGCTAAGCTAAGTCCTTAAAACTTAGAGATACATAACTCATGGTTAGCCAGAAGTCCAACAGGATCCTTACACTACCCACACCATATTTTATCTAATGCCAAGAGAGATTAAGACAGTTCAGAAGTGGGCTGCAGGTGTCTACGGATTCTAGAGAGTAGGGTTGGAACCCTGACTAATCAATCTATTGGTACATACTTTGGGCAAAATTACGCTGCCATGTTTATTGCAGCATTATTCACATTATTGGATGGCATAAAAGCATGGGCAGCAACCATTGACAACAGACACAGTTTGGGAGAAGGGCAGGAAGTGGGAGATGGGGAGGGAACGAATCAAGGGGAAAAAATGAGAAAAATATTTAACAGACAAAAAATGAAAATCATATGGTGATGACAATGTGTATGATAATTTCTTTGACTGGAATAACAGACAAGGTATTTACACTGGGAAAATTCTTTTTTTTTTTTAAGGGAGATATATTTTTATTTTGGTAATGAAATAAAGAATATGCATTTGTATGAAGTGTCTGAATCCAGTGGTTTAACTGTGGAGGATGGCAGGATACATATATCATATTTCCTGATATTCAAATCCTGAAGAAAAGAGTTCAGAATGAATATAGGGACAGATTATTGGAATCCTTAAAACACATGAGCAACACCAATCATCTGAATCAGTTAAAGAGAAACATAATTTCATCTCTGTGTACAGACATGGTAGAGTGTCTAAGATTTTGCTCACACCATCAACAATCCCTTTTGCTGGATTAAATCTAATCAAACATGGATGAGTCTGTAGAAATATATTGAGTCTCCTTCGAGTTAGAAAAAAAAATGTATATTGAAAAAAACGTTTTGATAAAAATTATTATGCTGATATAGTAATGTCTAGTATATATAGCATAGTGGAGAATGAAGGTTTCAGAGCTATACATTTTTTGGATAGATTATCCTTTATCCATTATAGTCTTGCATTTTGATCATTTGGGATGAAAGTCATCTAAAATAATATCACACACTGATAGGTCTTTTTAGACAGAACTTAATGATCATTATTTATTCATTTTATTAATTTCTGTGAGTCATCAGAATGAAGAAAAACTACTGCTTGATGTTATAACATGGAGGTATTATTTATAGTCTGAAGTAAGCAAAACCTTCTTAGTGAATCATCACAGTAATACAATGGGGAACTGTGTATTCTTTTTTTTTATTATTTATCTTCTTTATTGTTTCCTTTATTTTGCTTACTCTTAATTTAATTGAGTCATCAGAATGAAGAAAAACTACTGCTTGATGTTATAACATGGAGGTATTATTTATAGTCTGAAGTAAGCAAAACCTTCTTAGTGAATCATCACAGTAATACAATGGGGAACTGTGTATTCTTATGGCATGATGTGAGAGAATGCCATTCAATAAGTGAGAAGTTGAAAGGTTAAATGATTAAAACCTGGAGTTAATATTGAGGTGCAAACATCTTATAGATACTCTTGCCTCATGAGACTCAGACTCAATATTACTCTGTTGTTACAAAGTGCCCTTGAGGTAGCTTCACATTTCCCCTTAAAATTAAAGTGAATCATTTGAAATGGGAAGAACTGGTATAAGAATAACATCCTCAAAGGAAGATGGCTATACATTTTTCATTGTTTTCTATCTTAGATTATGTCCAACTACAGCATTCACTGAAAATATTCTGCCCCTTCTAGAGTCACAATAAGGATTTTCAGTAATGCCTATAAGGCACTTGCATCACTCATAAGTATCACTAAAGCTGTTGGTTAAAAGTAATTACAAAAATACTTTCTATTACTATTTAGTTCTCATGTAGTTTGAGTGATGAACAGTTAGTATCACAATGGGTAAGAAAAATCTCCCTTGAAAGAAAAGATGGTGCTTTGCTGTCCATGCTTCTTAACCTGATTGGAGGTTGATTCCGCTTCTCCAAGTAGAACTAAGATTTTTAAATAGTGCTATACAGTAAGCATTGAGATGATGATACCTCAGCAGACTTACTGCAAGATTCAAACTACTGCTTCATGTTGTATCTCAATTTAAGACAGTTTTTGACCTAGTATTTTTATTCAGCTCTTAACATAACATTCACTATCACTACATTTATTCATAAATAAAGGAGTATCATTTATCACCTTTTCATATTACATTCTTCATTATATCTCTGATAGTATTTACAATATCAAGACTCTTTTGGAGTGCAAAACCATTCTTTCTTTGTAGTTCATGGGAAATGTTAGGAAACTAAACAAAAGTAACAATTTGATCTGAGGTAACTATAACTTGAAATAATAGCTCTTAGCTCCTCATCACACTCCAACTTGGTCTTAGTCAAATATCTGGAATCCTGTACACCTACTAATCCTAAAAAGACCTACTTTTCTAATAGTGTTGAATTCGGCCTTGTGGAGGAATGTTCTGTGGGGCACTAACTTGTAATAGCTTTTTCTCTGAACTCTGAGCCCTCTTAACTGACAGACAGATAAACCCTATCATCTACTTCATTTCATCTAATTCATTTTTACATTTGCCTCTGGGAAAAAAAGAAAACAGTTGGCAGCACATTAAAGACAAAAGGCAAAGAAAAATGTAGGTTCCTGAAATGTTTAAGGAAGATGGAAATCATCTACTTTTGGGAACTGCCTAACGAAATTTAGCTGGTGCGTTAGTTATCCAAATTACCTTTTGCTTTTATCACGCAGACAATATACAGTTGAATTGTTAAATGATGTGCACTGTTTTTTTCCCCAAGAGCAGGGTTGGACATCTAATCAGGTCAATAATTATTCATGCATTAGCACAGTCTTCTTCTTAAAGTGTAACGGTGACTCACTGGGTATATAGTCATTATTACTGATTAGCAGGAAATTATTTTTGCGCATCAGTGGTTCATGTGAAAACAGCTAAATTTATTATGCAGAGTTATTTAACAGTTAGACCATATGAGAACTGTAGTTTTACTGCTGTGATTGAAGCCCTATAGTATACCAGTAGCTGACTTTTGAAAAATTATACTGTACAGTAACTACTTCTGTTAAATTTTGCTACTAATAGACCAAACTTCCTGAAGTTTGATACCCTACATTGACATGCATAATGCATTTAAATAATAAAGTTTCCTTGTAGGCGCATATTTGATAAGAAAGTAATGGAGAACAAAAGTATATAACATAAAAAGAGAGTGGAAGATAAAATTTCAACAATAAAGTGTAAGTAAAAAAGGACAGAACTAAGAAAGGGAAAGTGGAATAAAAGAGATAAAATTGCACTTAGTTTAAATTGTTAGTTGAATGATATTTGATGCAATATCTGAAATTCTCTTTGGTTTAAACATTGCTAACATTATTAGTAGAAGGAAAATACCACACATTTCATTATAATAATTTCTACATAGTAAAAATTCCAAGAATAAAATTTGTAAAACATAACTAACATTTGCGCTTCTTGCAAATAGATAAATGCATCCTAGAAATGATATATTCACCTGATATTGGTCTTGACTGTGATCTTGCATCATCTCTATCTCTTCTTACTCCACTAACAGAATAGAATTATTATTTTTTTTATTTTTTAATTTTTTTTTTGTGGGGGAGAGGTTTTTGGTTTTTATTGCTATAGGGCACGTGCGCTCG